TAGTCCTAATAATTTAAATAGTGTACATAATACCTTATCTCAAATAGAGATACTTATACAAACGTTGTAATAAATATGGCGTGTTTTAAATAGCCCTCAAATCCACAAAACAAAAGAAATTTAGCTGTTTTTAAACACATAAGGCGTTAGGTAAAATCACTTGGTTTTGTTTTCACTATTTACATCCGAGACAATAACCTTGCGTATTAAAATTAGGGTTTGTGGATTGAGTGCCATAATAAACATGGCTATGATCGCCAGCGTTCTTAATGTCCATAGAAGAAGAGAAAAGATACTATTCAGTGCCGTAGACTGAAGGATTGAATAAAGTCTTGTTAAAAATTAGATAACAACTCCTCTACTCGTGCCTTCAAAATTGACAAGAAGGAAAGCATTATAAGTAATATGTATTATATTAGTAAGTAATTTTCGTTTAATCCTGATACAATTTTGTAATTTAAAATAGTTCGTTGTTAATGTTTATCATTGAACAATGTACACTTTATAAACACCTAAGGAAAGATATCCGTTTATTATCCTCATAAATGTTACATATTTACAACGAAAATTATGTTTACTGTAAAAGTTCCCAAAGCACAATATTTTTTGTGTAAACTTTGGAAGGTCAGAGTAATCCTTGACAGTTCGTAGATTCAATCAGTAATTTCAGAGGCTGCTTATTTCTCGTCCTACTAAGAACAACGTATCTTCAGATATATTTTTTAAACTTATTTTCTTTTCTCAAGCTGTTACCAAATTCCACAAGATAAGCCCCGAATTCTAACATAAAAACGGCATTAAAACTAATTATTTAATTGTAAAGAGTGTTTCATTAAGACGGATCAAAATCTGCTGTAAATAAATCAGTGTTATTGGTGAAAATTCTATTTATTTCTCTATTGGATCATATTATTTAATTCATGGCAATTATGTGTGAAAAATAATATCGCCCAAATGTCTGCCAAATCTGAAAGAAAAAGAAAACAACCATTAGGCGTTTAAATGCAATTCACATTAAAATCGGTCCAAGTTATTGGAACATCCTTTATAAGCTTTTAATTGCTATTGTAAATAATATAAATGAAGGATGTAGTGTGAATAAAAAAAAAACCTTTCAATGACTAATGAATTATTACAAGAAGTTATAATTAAAAAAATAATATGTTAAAAAATATAAGTTTTAATTAAAAAAATGTCACAACACTAAAAAAAAAAAAAAATGATGGGTTATAACCCATCATTTTTTAAAGTTTAAATTGAATTTCTAAAAATGAACAAAGCATTTTTGAAGATATATGTGGCGTATTATATATTCGAACCCTCTCCGATAGCAATATCAGGGGACCAAATTTGCACGACACCAGGTAGGTCATTGTTGTTTTGCACACTGCCCGTCAATTGTTACACACAACAAAACGTATATATATATATATATATATATATATATATATATATATATATATATGCAAGCAAATATATGGATATAGATCCGACAGTATGAAGAAAAATATACGGAAAAAACAAACAAAAATCCATTTTGTCATGTTGAATTAATAATGTTAATTATATTTTATGAATATGTCCTGAAGATGGTTTATTAGACCAGAAACGTCCGACGACATATTATATTAAAACATTAAAATAGGATTTTTTGTTTGTTTTTTCGTATATTTTTATATATATATATTTTATATATTATATTTTATATATATATATATATATATATATATATATATATATATATATGTGTGTGTGTGTGTGTGTGGTATATATATATAGATTGTTCCCCACTCAACGACTTTCAAAGACTGCTGTGTGGCGGTGGTGATGGTCGTCGAAGAAGAGATTTGTTGACATGACGTCTGCTCTCTTTCAAATCGAAGATGACAACTGAAAGAAGGTAGAGAGATTTTGCCGCGTGACGTCATCGGAGTTCACCCCCCCCCCCCCACACACACACCCACCTTCTTCTCTCCCTCGGCAATTCGTGCGAAGACGGCTCGTCGTCCGCAGAGAGATGAAAAGTAGTGGATTGTTACACTCACAAAAAACGTATATATATATATATATATATATATATATATGTATGTGTGTGTGTGTGTGTGCGTGTATGGTGTATTATGTAAAACAATTAGAGAAAATCAAATGTTTAACTAGTCATCTATGTTCGTTGTTCCGTTGGAAGGCAATTTTCTAGCTTCTGAATTTTTTTTTTCCAAAGGACTTACAAAATGACATAGAGCAGTCATTTGATTTTACAAGCAAGATTAACCCTTTAAGCCCTGACCACCGTTTTACCGGTGGCAGAGAACAATTACTTAATGCCCATCCACCGGTTGAACGGTGGGTAAACACTTGTAACTTTTTTGAAACATTACATACCAATTATTTGCAAATTTTGACTCAGGAGCTCAGACAGAAGGGTTAAAATTGTTCAAGGACACAGGGATCAAAGGGTTAAGTTTAATGGCATTTGTAAGATTTCCCTAAAACGTCTAAATTTGGCAAAGGGGAGTTTTATATCAATTTCATATATCTTTGCCCAGGGGTTTGTGTGTTCGAACTTTTGTTTTTAGAAAAAAAAAAAAAAAAAAAAAAACCCTGAAAATAATGCTTTTTCTGCAAATATCCGTTTCAATCTCCAACCAAATACGACATACACAGAAAGAAAGAATAAAAATCAACGTGAAACGAGTAATTGAACTCACAAACGTCATTTCTAAAAAGAAAACCAACCGGGAAAGTTATTTACACATTCCTAGCGCAAAGATAGACGGAGATTCTATCTGGACATTGTTTTTTTTTAAATTTTTTTATTTTTCTTCTTTCATTTACTTGTTTTAAATTTTTTTTTTTATCTCGGTTTGGTGTCAATCTTTCGTTTCCTTCCTTACACATCATCGCATTTGTTTGTATTTACAAACCTCACTTCCGATTTACGAAGCATTATCAGTTCTACACAATTACTGTTTGATTTGAAAGATGAAAATTATTCTCAATGGATCTGCTTGAATTTATACAATTTATACATGTGACGTAAAGATTTATGCAAATTGAAGTAGAGGTTGGTGGGGGTAATATTTTGATGAGTTCAAATTAGCGTTCCTTTCATATATTTTTAATTTGGCTTCGATTCGTTTGGTTTATTTTGTTTTACGTCATATCAACCTCAGTAGGTTATTTAATGCCGACATGATCCATATTCCATATATGTTTGGTTTGGTTTGGTTTGGTTTATTTTACGATACATCAAGCTCAATGGGATATTTAATGCCGACAAGATTTCTGTGCATATACATGTTTGTTTCAGTTTGGTTTGGTTTGGTTCGGTTCGGTTTGGTTTGGTTTACGGCACATCAACCTCTAGGTGTTATTTAATGCCGACAAAAGTTGTGTGCGTATACATGTTTGGTTTGGTTTGTTTTGGTTTATTTTGCTTTAAGGCACATCAACCTCAACGGTATATTTAATGCCGAGAAGATTCTTATTGTTGGTAATTTTTTTTATTTTCAAAAATGTATTGCATCTAATTGCTTTTTGCTTCAAAAATGTATTGCTGATAATAATTTTTTCTTCATAAATTTATTGCTGGTAATAATCTTTGACAAAATATATTGCCGGTATTAAAACTTATTTTTACACTCTAATAGAGTTTTGACCCCGGTTTGGTTGTGTTCGAGTTTTCCTTTTGAGTAAAACAAAACAAAACAAAAAAAAAAAAAAAAAACCCTGAAAATAATGTTTTTGCTGCAAAGATCCGTTTCAATCTCCAACCAAATACGTCATACCCAGAAAGAAAGAAAAAAAAATTAATGTGAAACGAGTAATTGAGATCACAAACGTCATTTCTAAAGAGAAAACCAACCGGGAAAGTTATTTACACATTCCCAGCGCAAAGATAGACAGAGATTCTATCTGGACATTGTTTTTATTTTTTTGTTTTGTTTTTCTTCTTTCATTTACTTTTTCTTTTTTTTTTCTTTTTTTTTATCTCGGTTTGGTGTCAATCGTCCTTCGTCCTGTTCGTTTCCTTCCTTACACATCATCGCATCTGTTTGTATTTATACACCTCACATCCGATTTACGAAGCGTTATCAGTTCTAAGCAATTACTGTTTGATTTGAAAGATGAAAATTATTCTCAATTGATCTGCTTGAATTTATACAATTTATACATTTGGCGTAAAGATTTATGCAAAAGAAGACGTTTCAAATTGAAGTAGAGGAGGGTGAGGGTAATATTTTGATGAGTTCAAATTAGCGTTCCTTTCATATATTTTTAATTTGTCTTCGATTCGTTTGGCTTATTTTTTTTTTTTTGTTTTACGTCATATCAACCTCAGTAGGTTATTTAATGCCGACATGCTGCGTGTCCATATACATGTTTGGTTCGGTTTGTTTTGTTTTACGGTTCATCAGTCACAATGGGATATTTAATACCGACAAGATTTGTGTGCATACACATGTTTGTTTCGGTTTGTTTCGGTTTGGTTTGGTTTGTTTTACTGTACATCAACCTCAATGCCGACATGATTTTTATTGCTGGCAATATTTTTTTATTTTCAAAAAGGTATTGCTACTAATTGTTTTTTCTTCAAAAATATGTTCCTATGGTAATAATCTTTGACAAAATATATTGCTGGTATTAAAGTATAGTGTTGTGACCCTAATTTCGGGGTTTAACTATTTACCCATAGCTGTGACCCTAACAGGTGTTATCACCCCTGGTCAGGGTGGACCTGGAAACGCCAGCAATTAAGAGGCGGTACCGCGCTCTTCAAAACCTCCTGACCAGGGATTTTGCTGTCGGATGTAGTTTATCGTCATACCGAGGACAGTGTGTTCGATTCGCTAACTTCATTGGTAACACCTATCAAATTTTGTACTTCAATGTATTTCTTCCCTTTGTGATTAATTTCAGTTTGTCTATCTTGCCCTCTTTTTCTTTCCCCATACTTTTTTTTCTGATTAACAATCCTGATAATCAAATCCAAATTTATTGCACCTGGTAATCCCAAGCGGTTACCCATCTAGGTACTGACCAGATTCGGCATTGCTTAATTTCGGTGATCGTACGAGGACCAGTGTTTCAAAGTGATATATCCGTAAGCCTATGAGAGCTTAAAAACATGCACTGTTTGGAAATGTTCATCTGATCAGGGGAGTCTTAACGATGGTTAGTGGTTCGGATTGAGAAATCGGAGAGCCGAGTTCGAATTCCAGTCGGGTTCATTGCATTTAAATACGATTGGGAAACGTATGAATCCATCTCTTTTCTCCACAACTCCGAGTAAATAGCAGGACAGAGTGAGTTCTATAAACTTGGGTGACAACAAGTCTAGGATTCAAAATCTTCAACCACGGGTTAAATAGTGTCACCAACCTGTAATTGGCCAAGCGCAGTGTGTATGGCTACAACCCTGAAAACGGAAAATCAAGTAGAGGCCCCTTCAGTAGGAGTGAGAAGGCTTTGGATTCCGAAAACTAGAATATAAAATTCTACATGTTATTAACATCAGAAATTTTTGAAGTGTCAATTAAAATATCAATTAAAGTGTCGATTAAAATAAAATTTTAAAGTGTCAATTAATATACTAATTAAAGTATCAGTTAAAATTTTAATTAATACTTTAAAACCTTGTAAAATTATTTAATACGTTAATTGATATTTAGTTACTACTTTTAAAAAGTCTGATGTTAATTGATACTTTAATTAGTATATTAATTGATACTTTAAAAATGTTAAAAATGTTAATTCATAATTTATTTGATATTTTAATGAATACTTTTAAAATGTCTGAACTTGATACTTTAATTGATATTTTACTGGATATTTTAAAAATTTCTGATATTAATTGATACTTTAATTGATATTTTAATTGATGCATTACAGAATTCTGAAGTTGATATTTTAATTGATATTTTAAGTTAAATGTATCAGTTAATATACTAATTAAAGTATCAGTTAAGATTTTAATTGATAATTTAAAAATTTCTAAAATTAATTAATAGTTTAATTGATATTTAATTTCTACTTTAAAAATATCTGACGTTAATTGATACTTAAAATAGTATATTAAATGATACTTTAAAAAATGTTAATGTTAATAAATGTTAATGTTAATTCATAATTTATTTGATATTTTAATTGAATCTTTTAAAATTTCTGATATTAATTGATACATTAAAAAATTCTGATGTTGACACTTTAATTGATATTTTAATTGATACTTTTAAAATTTCTAATGTTAACTGATAGTGTAATTGATATTCAAATGCTATTTCTCAAATTCCTAATGTTAAGTAAAACTTTAAACCGTAAAAATAGGTTTTAATACCAGCAATACATTTTTGTAAAAGATTATTACCAGCAATAAAATTTTGAAGAAAAAATGATTACCAGCAATAAAATTTTGAAGAAAAAATGATTACCAGCAATAAAATTTTGAAGAAAAAATGATTACCAGCAATAAATTTTTGAAAAACAAAACAAAACACAAACCCATATTTTGCGTAGATAAAACCCTTCGTAATGTGTGGGCGTGAGAACAATTTTTTTGTATTTCTTTAAGGCATGGGTTACTAGCAAATCCTTCAATGAGTCGATCGGAATCTTTTCCAATTAATCTGAGGGTTCAAACTACAACTGGAATTGTTGATGTCCTCATGTGCCACATTTTTGAGATTTCGATTTCAAGTACCTTGTACTTCGATAGCTTTTTGAAGAATTTCAAAGATACATTACAATCTGCAGGGACTGCCATATCAATAAGGAGGCATTTTTTTTTTGTTTGCGATCTCTAATAACAATGTCTGGGCGGTTAGCTTTGATTGTTCTGTCAGTGTGTATTGTGGAGTCCCATAAAATTGTAACATGTCTTATCTCCGTAACCGGGTCTGGGTGGTGTTCATGCCAATTTCTTTCAGTTTCCTTCACATAGAAGTTGCAAATATTTGCCCACTCTGTCATGGCGTTTTTTGTATTCAGTGGATGCCAATACCGTGCAACCTGATAAAAGATGATCAATTGTTGTTATTATTATTATTATTGTTGAAACTTGACTAATGCATGGAATAATAATGCAACACAAAATGTACTTAGAACAAAATGTATTGAAACAAGAAAGTGTACACAATATTTACATATAGTCTTTTGTATATTCCTGGTAAGACCGTTCCTGGAGAATGTGTTTACTGAGTCGCAGTCGGGCAGAGTCTCTGGTTAAATCTCTTGATTCCTCCCTCTCTTCCCGGTACCAACCATATTTATATGGTCGGTACTCCACTATGCAAATTAGGTGGATCCTACCACAACAATTATTATTATTTTCTTTGAATTCTGACGTTTACACATTTCTTTCCGGGTCCCGCCCAGGGACCTAAAGTTAGAAATGGCATTATGACACTTTCCACTGACAAAAAAAAATTTTTTAAAATTGCATAGATAAAGCCCTTCGTAAAGTGTGGGCTGTACTTGTCAGAACAATTTTTTGTATCTCTTTGAGGCATGGATTTCCAGGAATCCCTTCAATTAGTCTACTTCTATCTTTTCCAACCAGTCCTAGGGCTCCAACTACAACAGGGATTGTTGATGTTCCCATATGACACATTTTATTATTATTATTATTCTTTTTATTTTCTTTGATTTCTGGCGTTTACACATTTCTTTCCGGGTCCCGCCCAGGGACCTAAGGTTAGAAATGGCGTCATGACACTTTCCACTGACAAAAAAAAAAAAAAAATGATTACATCGAAAAAGCCCTTCGTAAGGTGTGGGCTGTACTTGTCAGAACAATTTTCTGTATCTCCTTGAGGCATGGACTTCCAGGAATCCCTTCAATTAGTCTACTGGAATCTTTTATTATTATTATTATTATTATTAACAACTAATAAGATCCTTGAAATTTTCACCGTTTTCGGATTAACACTTTTGATTTGTAAGACCCTGGAGGCAAATTTACTGTCTAACCTAGAATTTGAATTTAATCGGTATCACTCCCAAGGAAGGCGGTAATGCGTCTAAAACACGAATGGTTACTGGATGTGGAAAAGTTAGGAAAAGAAATAATAATAAGAATTAGAAAGAGAATAATCAGGTGGACAGTAGAGAGCGTTTGGCATTGCATTTAAATTTCTGCAGATTAAAGTTGGCCGGAAAGCATGGAGCAGAGGAAGTGCAAAAAACTGTTAGCATAGAACTTATGACTACATCTAGCCAGCTTAAGTGTAAATTGATGAGATCTCGACGCCAATCTAGTGCTGCGCTCAAATTAAAAAATGGTTAGGTACCATAGCTCATCTGAACAATTATCATGGAATTATTCATAGAAAAGACATTAAGAGGCAACCTTACAGCGTTGGGAAAGTCACTGGAGCCGAGCCGTCAGACGAGGACCAATAATATTGCTGATTCTTATTTGGATCTTATCAAGGGACTCAAGGTGAATAGCAGGGGCACCGGCCCCTATGTGAGAGCAATATTTTAAGCATGGAAGAATGATAGAGTTAGAGATATGTAGGATAGATTCTGGAGAGAAAAAAAAGTCTCACGTGACGTAGTGAACCGTTCTTCTTAGCAGTTGAGCTAGCAATGGATTCAATATATAATACACCATACACGCACACGCGTACGAACACACACACACACACGCGCACGCACACACACACATATATATATATATTATATATATATATATATATATATATATATATATATATATATATATATATATATATATATATTTACGTTTTTTGTGCGTGTAACAATCCACTTCTTTCTCTCTATCTGCGGACGATGAGCCGTGTTGGCACGAACTGCCGAGGGAGGGAAGAAGGTGTGTGGTGGGGGGACTCCGATGACGTCACGCGCCAAAATCTCTCTACCTTCTCTCAGTTTAAATTGAATTTCTGAAAATGAACAAAGCATTCTTGAAGATATATGTTGTGGTGTATTATATATACGAACCCTCTTCGATAGCGATATCAGGGGACCATAGTTTGCACGACACCGGGTAGGTCATCGTTGTTTTGCACACTGCCCGTCAATTGTTACACACAACAAAAAATGAATATATATATGGCGCATTTTTATTTATTTATTTATATATATATATATATATATATATATATATATATATATATATATATATATATATATATATATATATATATATAATAAGTGTGTGGTATTATATATATATAGTTTGTTCCCCACTCAAAGACTTTCAAAGACAGTTGTGTGGCGGCGGCGGTGGTGGTGGTGATGGTCGTCGAAGAAGAGATTTGTTGACATGACGTCTGCTCTCGTTCAAATAAAACGTTTTCTCTACGCTTAAGCCTTATTTCTTTCTCTTTGCATTAACGTAGGATTTTTCAAATCGAAATTATGAACAGACTCATTAAAGTGAGAAACTAATGCATCTATTGATTTATTGGTTTTTTTTTTTTAACGGATTACCAACCATTTGCGGGTTATTTAAAGCCTGAAAATAATTTTAGAATGTAAGATTTTTTTTTAGATAATAATTGTTTAGTGATACATCTTACTGATTAACCCATTGCTGGGGAGGGGAAAGAGCAGATTCACACCTTTTTCCACAAAAGGTATTTGCGCGTAAGTGAATATAACGAACCCAACCAGAATTGGAACTCCGTTCTTCGATTAACAATACTCAGACTTTAACCATCAGTCTAGCCATAAATCCAGGCTTAAAGTAACTGGAATTTCCAAGCAGTCATCTGTTTCATCATATTTTTTATGAAGTTATATTATTCTTCTATTATATGCCGTCTCCCTTCAGGACATACTCGGGCTATGTCTCTCCACAGCTTCTTATCCTTTCTAGTTGTACTTAACATTTGTTCTCTTCGGTTGCTCTTCTAGCATCCATTTACGCATGCGCGTTAGGCGTGTTACTTGCTGTTTTTACCTAGTCTCCCTTGCCTACATTATGTCCCGTGTGTGTCAGATATTCCAAGCCCCCTTTCCTCATTACGTATCAAAGATTTCGATTCGTAATTAACTTCATTTTGTGCGGTATCTCAACAAGAGACCATGCAATGCTACGAGGCAAACATCGTTAATGAACTCCGCTGTCTAGAGATTTA